CCTTGTCCCTGCGGGCGGACGGGCGGCTGTGGGGCGCGGGGCTGCCTCCGCCTGCCAGGATTCCGCGGGCGGAGGAGAGAACCCGCAGATAAATGCGGCGCAATCTCGGACTCGCCCTCTGAGCCAAACCCTGTTCTCAGCCCGTCGCTCGGTCAGCTCTTGAAGAGGACAGTTGTCACTCCTGCCCCGTACTTCAGAAACCCGCCGCTTAGCTCTGTGAGCCGATACCCCTCCTCGTACTGGCCACGCTTAGGTCTCGGGCCCCACATTTCCTAAGGGTAATTTTTGTTTGCTGCTCTCGAACTTTAATGTGCAGGAGAATCTCCTCGGGAAACTGAAAATTCAAGTTCCAGACCTCACTCCTAGTGTCTGACGTAGGTGTGTGGAAATGCACAAAATCTGCGTTTTTCTCTTCCTTTTGCTACCCTTTTCAGATTAAACAAACAAAAAGCCCTAGCTAACCTCTGTCCTAGTGTCTTTCAAATGGGTCCCAAGAAATTCTGGCAGAAATTGTGAACAGAGCAGCCTGAAGTTTGCTTTTACACAAACACACACACAAACGTACACAATACATATATGTATTTAACTGTAGGTGGAACCGTTTGATGAGTGACTGGGGGAGGCGATGCCAGAGCGGTACCTAATACTTAGACTTTAGCTAATCTAATGTGGAAACTACTGATTTGAAAACTTAATTTGGAAGAAGATAGGGCAAATCTGAGCAGATTTAAATTTTCATAATGCGATTAACTGAGTTTCATGTTTGGTTTAGGTTTCTTTTATTACATTAGAATTATTAGATTTTTCATTACAGATGGAAAAACATGTCAGTGCTACAGCTTTGTTAAGCTTTATTGAGTTTCAGCAGTGAAACTGGGCATTTTATTCAGTTTCCTGTTTACAGAAAGGGATTAAGATAAGGTTACTGTTCTTAACACCGCAGTTGTGTAGGTTGATCGTTGTTGGAAGGCCGTGTTTTTCGAGGCACTGTAGACTGGTCTGGCTAAAGTATCTCTGAACAACAAGCTCCTCTGGATTTTGTCCTGCTGTTTAATAAATGTGGTTGCAAATTAGTATGTCTTGTAACCTGAGAAAACGGTCAGTGAGTGGGTACTAGTTCATTCTAAAACAAGGCCGCAGCTCCATTCGAGTGGGTAAAAGCATTCCTGTAAAATGTTTGTGCCTGATAATATGCACCTGTCATCCCAGCGCTGCAGAGGCTGAGGCAGGAGGATGGCTACCAGTTTGAGGCCAGCCTGGGCTATACATATAGAGAGTTTGAGGTCATCGTAAACTATGCAATGAGACCCTGTCTCAAAAAAAAAAAAAAATTTTTTTTGTTTCAAAACAGCCAGCATCTAAGCTACAACTGAGTTGTATATTGAAAACTTGGGTGTAAGCCTGTTATTTGGAACTTTGATCCTTTTCCTGTTTCATAATCTCTAAGAGGAATTGTACCTAGGTTAGGTCAAAAAGTCTTTGCTACCCGGTATAGTATATTGTGTACAGTTACAATATTAATAATTTACAGAACCTAATAATCTGCCAAAGAAAAGTATTTTTCAAGTTCAGCCCTGGGGCACTCTGTGGAAATATCAGATCCCATCCTCCCAGATGCCTGCCACCATCTCTGTTGCGGTGCTACTGAATGTGGCCCCCAGGGCTAAGCCCCACCCGGGTAGGCACAAAGCCACTGTGAAATTAGAAAGCTTGGCCTCTGGAGTCCAGTAGCACTACCACTCTCTAGCTGTGTGACTCCCTTCTCTCAGCCTTCTTTCTTGTAGTTTGTAAAGATTTGAAACATTGTAAAAGGCCTGCTACATAAGTACTAAGTAATTATCGTTATTAATGACACAAACAAGAATACCATATTAAAAGGAGTAAGAATAAGTCATCATAATTCATGTGAATTCAAGCCTTCAGGTTCCTAATACTTTATTATAGCTAATACTTACTTTATAAGAAATAGCTGAGGGCTGGGGATGTAGCTCAGTGGCACCATGCTTGCCTAGCAAACACAAGGTCCTGAGTTCGTTTCCTGGTGGTACCAGAAAAAAATAAATAGCTGAATATAAATGATGAGGATTTTGAAAGAGGGATCTTATTAAGTCACCTCCATTTTTATCTCAAAGCAAAGTGCTGAGGCTGTGGTGCCAGACCCTCAGGTGATCAACCTAGCCTGGCCAAATGCAAGCAGTGTGACTAGACAAATTACCTGTCCTCACATTCCTCAGTGGTAAAATTAGGTTAAGTATGATGTGTACCACAGAGTGAAATGAGTAACATAAATAAAACTCAGCAGCCAGATCTCTGACACAAAGTAACAAAGGCTGCAATTGGTTTAATTGTTGGCTCCAAGCTGTGGTATCTTCCTCCCTGGGCCCTCAACCTCCTTAAAGGAAGCAGTCATCCCCTGGTACAGTTGCAGTGTTCCTTGCCATCTTCCTTTGCAGCAGATTGCCAGTCTGGCCTCCCAGAGAGGGAGTCGAGACCAGCACAGGGTAGGAAGGCTGCTTTTAGGGGAGACGCACTAGTCATTCTCAATCTCGGTTGCCTATTAGAATTTTCCAAGGAAATTAAAAAACGCACATGCCTGGTTTCTGCCCCAGAGGGTTTGACTAAGTGTAACTTGGGCATCAGATTCAGATGTGATTCAAGTACCATGGACATGTTAGGGTTGCTCGAGGCCTGGTCTTGGCCTGACTTTCTTACAGTACACATACAACTGTTGGTCCCAGGCCTGACTGACTGCTCTAAGAGGCCACTTGATAAGTTGGAGCAGAGGTGCTGTCTGTACTCCTTTCATTTATCTTGTATTTCTGGGAAAATAAATCAGCATTCAAAAACTTGTATCTTTCAAAATAAACCTTTTTCTTGTGTTTGAAGTTCATTTGCTTTTGGTCATAAGTCCTCTGTCTTTCTCTCCCGCTGGGAGACTCAGGGCAGGTTTTCATCAGACGCTGTTCCCCAGCTGATGTCTGATGTGACTGCTGGTACCTCTGGCGTGACAGCACACAGGATGTTGACAACAAAGCACTTGCCCCCCCCCCAGCCTCACTGCAGAACCCTTCACTGTTTGGTCCCAACTCCAGTTCTGTCTCCACACTCCTGGGAGGCTGAGCACTGGCTTGTCCCACTGCGTCCCTTGGTAGGGATGTGCCCTCCCCATCACATCCTTTGTTTAGAACTTTAGCCACCTGTGGACTTTTATCTCAAATGCTGCTTTTGCTCTCTCCTCAGCTACCTCTACCCACCCCAGTGCTGTCTGTCTCTGCCTCTCCTCTAAGGCACCTTCCAAGTCTTCTGCCTTTGAAAATCCTTCCTGGTGTTGAGTTCCCTTTCTGCTAAACCTTGGGCTGCTTGGTTTGGTCTCCACATTCCTTGTGGGCAACCAAGAGGATATGGGAAGATGATGACTAGACAAAAAGAAATATAGAATAGGAAGTCATAACAAATACAGCCAAATTCGAGAAGTCAGGGTTTTACAGAAGCGTCTTGGGAATGAGCACAGAAGCCAGTGGAAAGAATCACAGATGAGCCAGTGCCCGGGGAGATGGAGAGTTGTGAGAACTCTAGGCCTCAGTCCTGCAGACTGACAGGCTCTGCACAATGAAAAGGATAGTTCCCTATTACACAGCTCCTCATGGGGCAAAATGACTTACAAGCGTGTTCACTCTGCCTCGCCTTTGGGGCCCCAAGTAATAAAGGCCAGTGATGGCACTGTGTCTTTTACTGCTAATAAGGCCTGTGAATGCTAGTCAGCTCTGCCCAGGGAGTGACTTCATTTAATTCAGTAAATGCAGGAAATACTGGGAAGAGCTTCCCCAAGGGGCCCAGCCCAGCTGCCTCAAGTGCTTTTCTCAGTGTGCAGCCCTCCCTGAGCTTTCAGAGCAATCCTATGTGGCTTTTAGTCCCTCCCCCAGATGGTGAACAAAGCAGAAATACTGATAAACAAGCATTTGTTGAACAAATCTTTATTTATAGACTCCATTTATTTGCTTCTCTGTCTTGCTCCTAAGATATCTACAGCCATCCTAACAATAAAAATGAACTCTCCAAAGAATAGGATGTTAATAAATTGACAGAGTTGATTGTCTTTGTTATTGCTCTTCTAATAGGATTTCTGTAGATAATGTCTACACGTCAGGCCTTCTTCTCAGTTTTGTCTTACAGATTTCTAAAAATTAAACTTCCAAATTTTACGTGTTAGGATGCAGTGTACTAGTGTTCAGCCCATTTTTTTTCTGCATTCTTTATTTAAAGTCTGCAAATCAAATGAAACCAAAAAAGAAACAAGACCTTGTTTTCTCACATGTGCTACATTTCAGTAATCATTTTGACCAAGAGAAGAGGTAAGGCTAGGGAGAATGTAAAACAGAAAGGAAGTTAGTATTTGGTGTAAACCCTGATGCCCATGCTAGAAGAGGAGCGAGTGGTTCCTCCAGCATCTGTCCTGGCAGCGTGGCAGCCATGTCCGTTGCACATGTCCCTTGGTCACCTGCCTGCCACTTGGTGGGGAGCTGCTGTATGGGGGTGCCCTGGACAGTCTGTTCTGGAGCTTCCGGAAGGACAGCTGAGGAGAGGTTAACGAGGACCCTGTGGGGCACACACGTCCCTCGGCAGGGCAGACACTGGCAGCATCTCTGTCTTGTGCTACGCAGAGTCCAGGTAGGTGCTGGATTGTGGAGCAGTTATGGGCGTGGCTGCTTTACGGTCACCAGCATCATATTTACAATCTGCTAAGAAAGGAGCAAACTCGTGTCACTGTTTAGGGTTGGAGACAGGTACACGAAAATAACCCACAAAGCCTGCAGGATGCTGGAGCTGACTCATGCATGCACAGTGGCTGTCTTGTCATGTTGAAAGGATAAACTTGGCATGTTAAATAAGTAATAATAGGGATTTTTTTTTTTCTTCCAGCACCTCAGTAAATTCTGGCAAAATAGCTGTGAATGGCGTTCACCTACATTACCAGAGAACTGGAGAGGGCGAACACCCAGTCCTGCTGCTTCCCGGGATGCTGGGTCTGGACATATTTAATGGATGCTCTTTTTGCTTGCTCTCTAACTTCTAACACATCACGGTGGTAGATGCGAAATATTGATCGTTAATTTGACAGAATATTTTCAAGAATGTTTGCTGCAGTCAAACTTGAGAAAAGTAGATAACTTTTTGCTGTATATGTTTTTAATTCCACTAAGTGCCCAGTTTTTCTCGTGGGAGTACACTGTAAAACCATGGTTGCCTACGCTTTGGGAGAGCAGCGGGTCCAGGGAAAGGGTGAGGGAAGAGTATTTGAAGGAAGGTGAGTAGGTGAACAGCCATCCTAGTTTGCCTGGTATCAGGGATTTTCCAAGATGTGGGACTTGCACTGCTAAAACCGGGATGGATTGTTTACTGTTGTGGTTGATCCTTTCGATTAAAATAAGAGGCAAGGAGACAAATTTAACATCTTTTAAGGGACAAAATGAGGCTAACGTATCACCCTGGTTGCTGTGTGGGGCCTCTATAGTAAAGCCCACTGGCTCTCAGCCTCATGAGAAGTTCAGGGAAAATTTACGGTGACCCGAGGACATGCAAATTTTAGTTTTAAGGAGGTTAGCATTGTTGCTTTCTTTTTTATTTAAATAATCCCTATATGTACTCATTTCCTGGTGATTTGTTTCTCTCTAGGAATAGGAAAGTGCTAAAAGTTTTCATTTAATTTATGGTTGTACTTGGCCCAGCCTCAGCTAATGTGGGCCCACTGTGCAGATAGTATTTAGTACCTTTTCCATTAAGTTATGATGAAGGATAACTTTTACTCCAATTGCCAAGGTCATCTGTAAGGACAATTTACCAGGCCAGATTTCCATTCTTGCATTATCACAGTCATTGACCAGGTCTAAAACCTGCCCCTCTAGGGTCATTCCCCACAGATGTCCCTCCAGCATAGGGATGCAAAAGAAGCCCACATGCTAGCAGTAGACACAGGCTGGAGGGCCACCGATTACCTCTGGGGTTGGATTGCCTGCGTGACTTACCTAATCTTAAGAAAGGAACATCTTGGCAGGGAGAATGATCAACCTTGATAATGGCAAGTGATCCTCCATCTTCTAGAAATATATTTTCTATTACAGCTCTGCATTGTGATAGAAAAATATAAATGTTTAAACTTTAAAATGTGTTATAATAAAAGATTCATTGCCATGAATCCTTAAAATACTCCCCTTTGCTTTGAATTTATCCTGTCATTCTTGCCCCTTGCTGAAGCAGGTCTGGAAATCCTCTTTCATGAATGTCTTTCATTGTGCTCTGATGGCTGCCTTGATATGCTGAATTAATTTAAGACGTACCTTTTATGGTCATTTGGACTTTAAGGAAGAGCCAAAAGTTGCATGGTACCAGATCCTGTGAGTAAGGCTGATAAGGACTCACTGTCACCTTTTTCAAGCCTGCCTTTCTGTTGGATGGCACTCGGCAGCAATAGTCGTATTTTTTATCACACCTCATAAAGATACTCATGAAGAGGACTTTGAGAATTGCTTCAGGAAGAAAGTGGCAGGAACAGTAGGATAAATGTGTTAGAAGCAGCAAGGGAAATGTGTTGAGGGGGGGTTCGTGGCAGTGTGTCTTTTATTATAATAATTTTTAAAATGTAAACATTCACTGTAGTTTGACCACACTGCATAGCTGATTGGGCAAGGTGTTCAGTATTCACTTGCAGCCTCAGAAATCGAGCAGCTTTCCTGGAAAATGCTTACCTGGCCTGTGGGGCTGTCCTTCCACACTGCAGTGGGGTGACCACACCACCACCCACCAAGGCTGGTCACGCTGCCTGTGACTCAACGCAGTTCTGCTCATTAGCGGAGGCTCTTTTGTATTATTTTAATGAGACAACTAGTTTATCTCATGTACCCCTTTTCAGTGATTTTTAATTATAACTACAAAATAAAATTTTCAGGGCTATTCAGATTAGCTCAGTTTTTAAATTTTAGAATTCTCCTTTGAATAACTTGAACCAAATCTAATAAATTTGTTTATAGATGTTATTGGGATTTATTTCATTTGAAAATCATTTATTTTTTAAAACCCCCCAGAAGCATAGTGTATAGGTAAGTTTGTTTATACAGTTTCATTGATTCTTTAAAAATGAGAGTGGGGATAAGAAGAGGCATGCAAGTCAGAATACCACGCAGGTCAAAGGACCCCTGTCCTTTTCAAAAGAGCCACTAGGGGGCGGTCGGAGGCAGGGCTGAGGTCTCGGTTCCTCTTCAACCCAGTCTGCTAGGCTGATTCACCTCTGAATGGCCACCTCTGAGTAGACACAACTTTAAGATTATTGCTGCTTCTGTTTTTACTCTGATGTGTTTGATACAGTGAAAGCATTCACCAGAGATAACCAAAAGTGTCTGTTTTCAGGAAGTGGAGAGACAGATTTTGTACCCCAACTTAAGAGCCTAAGCAAGAAGCTCTTCACAGTGGTTGCCTGGGATCCTCGAGGATATGGGCATTCCAGGCCCCCAGACCGAGATTTCCCGCTGGACTTCTTTGAAAGAGATGCAAAAGATGCAGTGGATTTGATGAAGGTGGGTATCACAGAAGGCACAGGAGGATAGCAGGGCACCTCTTCATTTATTTTGTTTAATTGTTGTTCTTTCTCTCTAGCCAGGTGATACCACATGACTCCCATCACATGGGAGCGCAGGGCACATTCTGTTGTTTGTGGATACTTCAGGTCTGATTTTTTGCTGTAGTGGATATACTGAGCCTGTCTCCTGGAACGTGTGTGAGAGTTGCATAGAACTTAGGAGACAGTGTGCTGGATTGTAGAAAAGGCAAATATTCTCTTAAAGACAGTGCCAACCTATTATCCATAGTAGTTCCTCCATTGTATAATCCCAGCGGAAAATCTGTGGGAGTAATATCTGTTCATTCCTTAACTTTTATTCTGTTTCTGTTCGGAGGAAGCATCTCCCAGATGTCGTCTTTGTCCATTCTCTGTGCTACATACATTTTCAGGTCCCAGGGGCTTACACAGCTTCCCTGTGATGCCATTCTCTTCCAACCTGTCTCCGGCCAGCTCTTCCCACAGCTGCGGTCAGTGGCTTTACCGGATGCCTTACTTCATTCCCCCAGGAAATCTGCAGTCCCTCTCTGAGCTGCATACTTGCTCCCAAAGCCCTGGCCAGGCACACAGACGTGCACAGGTGTAGCCACAATTTGTCGTGTCCAAGTACAGGTAATCACTGGATGTTTCACCTAAGCAGAAGACAGAGTTCCCTCAGCAGTCAGCCAGTGCTGTGTACTCAACTTCCTGTAACAGCTGCGTTTCTGTCAGAGCTCAGTGAGAGGGAGCACTATGTTTTCTGTGGTGTGGTGATCACGACTTTTCCTTTATTACTGACACTAGCCCAGGCCCGGGCCTGCACCGATTCCAGGCATTACCGACTTGCGGCCAGACAGAGGAGCACTGGGACTGAGCCACGTGTTTCATCATATTTGTCACAGGCGCTGAACTTTAAGAAGGTCTCCCTGCTGGGGTGGAGTGACGGTGGCATAACCGCTCTCATCGCTGCTGCCAAATACCCATCCTACATCAGCAAGATGGTGATTTGGGGGGCAAATGCCTACGTCACTGATGAGGATGAAAGGATCTATCAGGGTAGGTTCTGCCCCCGTGCTAGCGGGAGGTCGGGTACCTTGATGTGCTGACAAGCTCCTGACTGAGTTCTCAGAAAAGCAGTTCAGTTTAACCAGTCTGTCTATTTCCAGGAAGCTTTCTTATTTCCAGAAGCAGAACTCCTGCCACTCAGGAAAGGCTAAGGAAAGGCACGCTCTACGTTGGCTGCCACTGACAGTGAATCGGGGAAGGGGTGGGAAGTTTTACTCATAATCGCATCTGGAGTCAGCCAATGTAAAAGGACTCAAATATGAGCCCTCTGGAAATTCTGTGCTATTTGCATTGTTAAGGTTGCCCCTCAGGCTTCTTTTGCAGAAGTTTGAGGCACGGAGCAGGGGCCGATAAAATGCAACCTATGGGTCACCTGCTTTTGTGAGGTCTGGATGGAAATCAGAGAAGCTAGTTCTGTGAGGCACGGAGACCAAACCTGGGTGGCCACCACCCCCTTCCCATTCCTCTTCCACTCTCGGTTGCTGCCTGGGGCCTGTATGCTAACAACACGCTTGGGTACTGTTGCCAGTGCCTAGGGAAAAGGAGAAGCTGGCCGGAGGCATCTCCCCACCTCCCTCAGGCTGGCAGCGTTTTGTCCCAGGTGTGCTTCCAGCAGCCCCTGTGGGCAGGTCTAGATGGGGCAGGCGTTTCTCCCCTCGTGTCAGTACCTGCACCCAACCTGGAAAGTCACTCTTTCCCTGCACAAAGTTTGCAGCCCATGAAGAGGCTCACTGTCTTCACTGTTCTGTGAAGCCTTAGTAAGCTCTACGGGCAAGCGTCCTGAGTGCTGAGTCTGCTTCAGGGACCAGTCCTGCCTGTCCTCCTACTGTCCTGTGCTAGCACTGGCTCTGTGGCAAGGAAGCCTCTGCTCCTCCTGTGTCTTCCACTTCTGCCCCCTGTACCCTGCTGTCAGCCTGCAGGGGTGGGCAGGGCCTCCTCCGAAGTACCGCCCCTTTTCCTGTGGCTGCTGCCTTACTTCACCGCTTTCCCAGTGCTTCATTGTTTCTGTTCTGATCACTTATTTTCTTCCTTCTGCTTCCTTTGGGTTTCAGTTTGATTTTTCTTTTCCTAGTCCCAAAATAGAAGCTTAGGTTACTGATTTGAGACCTTCTACCAGAAGCATTTAGTGGTATAAATTTTATTCTAAGTGCTGCTACCTGTAGGCTTTCTACAAGTTTGATTATTTGTTTTATTTTGTTTGGTGTTTGAGACAGGGTATCACTGTGTTCAAGCTGGCCTTGAATTCACTATGTAGCCCAGGTTGGTCTCAAATTTGCAGCATCCTCCTGCCTCAGCCTCCTGAGTGCTGGGATTATGGGCATGTGCCACCACGCCCCTACAAGTTTTGATGAGTTGTACTTTAATTTAGATCAGAACATTTTCTAATATCCCTTCAGACTTTCTCTTTCAACCATAGTTTTTTAGAAGTGTATTATCTAATTTCCAAATACTTGAGGTTTTCTGGATATTTTTATGCTATTGGTACCTGATTTAATTCCATTAGATTTAGAAACCATACTCTGTGAATTCAATTCATGGAGGTTTATTAAAGGTTTGTTCTGTACTCCAGAACATGGCCTGCCTGGATCTGAAACCGAGTCCTTTGGTTCCTGGCCTCTCCCGTCCGTCACCTGCTCACTGTTCTTCAGGTCCTGGCCCATAGCCACCTGGCGTGTGAGCCTGAGTCTGAGGTACCTCTTGGGGCTCAGCCTCCTCTTCCCTCTCCACTGAACTCAGACTGCATTCTGCTGCTGCTGGACCCAGGGTCCTCTCTGCTCTTCACCAACCCTGCTTTTCCCACAGCTGCGATCAGTGGCTTTACCAGATGCCTTACTTCATTCCCCCAAGTCCTTCCCTCTCACAGTCTTTTGTCCTCATAGGCAAGAATCCTTCATGAGGCAGTGAATGAGCTTCATCGTGGCCACGATGGATAGCAGAAAGCATGCTGTCTGTATTTACAGGGTGCGGTGCCATCTGTGGTATCAAGCATCCTGGGGGCGTCTCGAATGTGTCATCTGTTGTGTGTAAGGGGTCACCGTGTAAGTTCCTCCCTGGATTATGAGTGTTCGGAAGGCAGAGACCTGGACTGGCCCAGGCTGTGTCAGTGGGAACTGATGCATGGCAGCTTTCACGTGGCCCATGGCGTGTTCATGAACCGATGATGCGCAAGCGAGTTCTCTTCTTTGCCGTCCCAGGACTCAGAAAGAGAATTGTGTCTGATTCTTTGGGATCCAAATGAGTTCTGTTTTAGATCAGCAAACACTTTGATTCAAATGATTATTCTGAGATCTTCAACATGAAACATAATTACCACTTAATTTTTGGCAGTAATTATGTTTTGGGGCAAAACTGGCTTCTTCTTGAAATAAATTAGCTGAAGTAAATATGTAAATACAAAGAGTATTTTTGAGTGCATGTTCCATGCCAGGCACTGTTGAGGAAGCCACAGCGCTGTTTGCTCTGCAATGAGGTAGGATCTCTGGCTCTGTGTTGCAGAGTGAGTTAGGGCATAGCTGGGCTTGCCCAGGCAGGACCCTTGACCACTGTGCCTGATGTGCACATCTGGCTCACTGGCTCACATCTGCTCCTGGCTTTCCTGCCCCTGCAGACTTAGATGCCACTTCCTGAGAGAGTCTGAAGGCTCGCCCTGCACATGACATCCCTACAGATAACTCTCTCCCTCCCGCCTTTACTTCGTGAGTTTGTTACAAGGATCTCTTGCTATTCCACTGTGACAGCTTGAGATTTCAGCAAGAAAAGTGTCTTCACGTTAAACGTGGGTCATTTGGTTCTTAAAGGGTCTGGACCTTTGCACCCCAGGGAACTTTTCTTTCTAATTGATTTTCTACTATGATAGTTACAAGTAAAACCATGTGACATACATGAAGCAGGACATCCTTGAACCCAGCCTGGAGTGTGTGGTTGACCACTGCTGATGCCCTTGTGTGCTTCCTTCCAATTCACCCCCAGCCTCCAGCTGAGCCTTGTGAATCCACTCTGTGCCTTTGAGAAAACCATCCTGTAATGTGCTCTTACATTCCTAAGCAGTGCACAATCTGACTTCTCTTCAAGCTTCACAGAAGTGGCTTCATCCTGAATCATTGTCTCTGACTTGCCTTTTTCATAGCATCTTGAATCTCAGATCCATTCGTGATGTTGCTTGAAGTTGCCAGGCATGTGCTGTATTCTGGAACAGTGGGACACTCTTGCCAGCGGGTAACTGGTTTATCTCCCGTGTTGCTGCACAGCTCACCCTACTGTCTCCAGGCCCAGCAGCAGCAGTCTTCAGGGTGTGAGCCCGCAAGTGACACTGCTGAGGGTCAAGTGCTCAGACACAATGTTACAGGTGGTGGGCGAACTGTCACTCGTTACCTGAAAAGAAACAATTGAGCCTGAGCTCAGAAGGCTGGCACTTGCTCCTCTTCCCTGGAGTCCTCCCTAAGCCCACTCTGTGCTCTCACAGACACTGCAGCACTTTCCTCGATCCAGTTCCTTACTCCGTCTCCATCCAGGCATCAGGACTTGGTGTCATGAAAGATCTAGGTTTTCCAGGGCAAGAGTGCCAGGGTACAGCTGCCAGAGCGGCCCTTTCATGGTTTGGGAGGGAGGTTCTAGGAATCCAGCCTCGGGTCTCAGACACACACACTGTCTTATCACTGAGCAACCCCATCAGTCCCTCTGGAGGAAATGTTTTACTGGCTTTCTCCACACTGTCTTGCCAGCCTGTCTCTCCTTTACCACTCTCCAACTCCTTTTTCTTCTTCTCGAGCCAACGCATCTTGATTTCCTGGCTGCATCATGCATCTCTGATGTCTTTAGGCTGCTGTGCAAAGCAGTTCAGCCCTTCCTGGTCCTGTAGGCAGCTCACCCCAGCTCACCTCTGAATGTGGAAGCCAGTGCACAGAAGCGAGGGCAGACCCCTCCTATCTCAGGCCCACCCTGATCAGAGGCAGTAATGTAAACAGTGGTTTTCCCTGCATTCAGTGAGTGCATGTTGAGTCCCACTAGGTGCCCACGCTGTCCGGACCCTGGATTGTTTTTGATGCGAGTTCATGTTGTCAGCACGTCTTGTCTCTCAGCTGTGTCCTTTAGCAGCACTGAAAGCTCTCAGCAATATTTATTAAGCTCAAGACCACTAGGGTCTTTATCACAATATTTAAAGAAATAGATAAAAGATTAAGCTGAATAGTTGCGTTTATTTCTTCAGTAGCAGAACTTGTTATTTTATGCATAATTTGCATATGTTTCTCAATGTACCAGAAAAAAACTCCTTTATACATATAGCTTGCCCTCTGTATCGAGGTCCATGAGTTTTGCATCCTGGATTCTGGTAAACATGATGAAAAATATATACCTTTGTACATAATACGTACAGATTTTTCTTCTTGCCCTTGTCCCCCGGTCATACAGTGTAACAAACGCTTCCGTAACATTTAAAGTGTGTGGGTATCATAAGTCAGCTGGCGATGAGCGGCAGCGAATGGAAGATGTGTGCAGGTTCTGCACAGTAGTATGTCACTTTAGAGTAGGGTTTGCACACCCACAGTTTGGATCCCACAGGGGCTCCTGGGACCAGTCCCTCTGGATACTGGTGGAGGACATGGTGCCTAAGCAGTGACCCTGATTAGGGGAATGTTTCCCCTTACCTCCCAGCATTGACATGAAGTGCTCGGTGCAGATTTCATCCATGTGCTGAGTATTTACTGAGGGCCTGTTTCGTGGGAGGCAGAGGCCTCACCACAGATGCGCAGCATGGTGCTGCATGCCCTGAAGGGGAGGCAGACACAGTCACAGATGCAGGAAATGCAGCAGAGCAGGGAGCACCTGGCAGAAGAGCTGGAGAAGAGGGGTTGGGAGGTGGCGGGGATGGTGACATGGAGTGAGCATGCGACACCAGGGAAGGCTGTCCTACCAGATGGACCCACGGATGTGAGGCTCAGAGGTGGCTGGAGCGTGAGGCAGGGGAGATACTCCCTTGGTGTGAGACAGAACCCATCCAGTCCATACTTTTGTTTTTCAGGAATCCGGGATGTTTCTAAATGGAGCGAGAAGGCAAGGAAGCCTCTAGAAGCCCTGTATGGGTATGACTACTTTGCCAAGACCTGTGAAAAGTGGGTTGATGGCATACAGCAGTTTAAGCATCTTCCAGATGGTAGGTTGCACCGACGATTTAGTGATCCCATTGCTGATCAGAGATGATGCTGGGGGCCTCCTTGATGTTCCAGAGTTCCTCAGCAACTCATGAATCCACCCATTGTACAGTGTTCTGTGAACAGAGACCCTAGTTATTGTGCACAATGTGACTTCTTGTATGATAGTCTGCCTTAAACTCAAGACAGGACTCGTGTATGAAGACTCATATTGTTGAGCCTTCACAAGTAGACTATTCTTTTCTCCTCAGTCCTTTGTGTGTATGATGACAAATTAATTCTTTAGAAGCCTCGTTTCTATTTTCTAATTCCAGAATGGGTAATTAGAAAACAGAACAGCCGCCTTGTAGACAATATTTTTTCCTTTTTGTCTGTGCAGCTGTCATCCCACTACACATCTGTTACTAGGACACAAAGAGGAAGTTTTTTGCTCTTCAACCTCAAAAGAAATCTTACGGGGAAGAGAGTTTCAGTTCTTTTCTCATCTTCAGAACCATTTATAGACCTTAGCCATGAACAAGTATCTCTCTTTTTATCTGAAAATTAGTAAGATTTCCACAAACAGTAAGAATTTGTATCTTTAAGAGGAAGTTTGAGTTACAGTGTATTTTTTGTACAGCTATGTTAGCTTTCTATTATAACAAATATTTGAGATGATCAACTTAATACAAGTGCTTTAGTGGACTCACAGTTTTGGAGGCTTCAGTCCATAGTCAGTTGGCTCTGTTATTTGGGGCCTGTGGTAAGGCAATGAGCCATTGTGGGAGCAGGTGGCATAACAGAAAGAGGAAGAGCCTGGTATCCTGCTGCCGTTGATGAGGCCATGCCCCCAGTGACCTGAAGACCTCCCCCAGGGCTCCACTTCTTAAAGGGTCTGCAACCATCTATCAGCACTTCTCCAGAGAGCAAGTGCTCTGCAAATGGGTCTCTGGAAAACACCCAGGACCCAAACCATAGCGAGCCTAGAATCTCTCTATTTTCCTGTTTTGTTTTGTTTTTTTTTTTTTTTTTTTTTTTT